GTGAGACATAGGGTCACTAGAGACCCTTCTGGGTCAGAGGAGAGAGACTGAATTGGACTAAACCCTTCCTCTGTTCCCAGCACGTTTCTCATATAGCCCTCAGTCACTGAGGAAGTCCCCCGCAGGGTTGGAGAGGCACATTCCCTTGGGACAGAGGCTACAGGTTGGAGCTTTTTTTCCCCTGTCCCCCAATCCCATCCCCACCTCCACTTCAGAACATGGCACCCCACCCACAACTGGCCAAGTGTTAAGTGATGTGCTTATTGAGAGCAACTCCGGGTGTCTTTTAAAATGTAGAGAAAAACAAGGTGACAGTTTAAGGAAAAATATATATAGAATACCAGAAATGCCGTTTGCCCGGAGAATTTTTTTCTCCCCATTTTTGTTTTGTTTTTACTCTCAATGACACAATTTTTAGTTTTATTTCCTGATAGCAAAAGGAAAAAAAAACACCCATCCCTCAAAAAGGCCAAGGTCCCGTCCCCCTGTTGTCGGTGATTTGTTTGTCTTTCTGATAGGTTGAAAATTGTGTAATAAACTTGATGACGCTGTCAATCTTTTATACTGCATTGTATTTTTTTCCTTTTGTAACAAAATATTTTTAAATAATAAATGGGGTGTGAGCTGTTTTATGGATTCTGCATTGAATAGATTTGTTGAGGTGTCTGGGGTATGGGCATGGGCTGATGTAGACACACGAATACCGTGAAATGCCAAGTTCTTAGCCAGGATTGCATGTCAGGCAGTGATACATGGCTTTAGTTGACTGTGGAAAGCCTCCTAAGAGACCTCTAATGCAAACCTTTGGAGGCATCCCTTAAGGTTTAGCTTTTTTCCTTGGCCATCTAAACGTTTAAGCTGGTTAAACTTCCAAGTTATTATCCTTTACCCTTCAAGATTCCTAAGACTTATTTTCAGAGCAAATGTTCTACCTTGTACAGTCAAATTCCAATGTCAAGTTCAAGAAGGGAAGAATCTTTTGATAGGAGTTAGAAGACCTGACTGGTAGTGCCTAGTTCACCACCTGTAAATATGGACAAGCAGTGTAACCCTGGTCTTTTTCACCTACAAAATGAAAATAATAGCTGTTCTGCCTTCTGCACGTGAATGTTTTAAGAAACATAACAAATGTGAATGTTTTATAAACTATCTAAATATGAGGAAGTATATAGTGTGGGTGATCTTGGGCTCCAGAAAAGCTTTTGGCTTTAAAAAGCCAGGTGAAGGAGGGTTCAGTGATAAAAAAGTGAGCCACAGACCAGATGATAATGTGTATTGGTACCAGGAATGGCAAGATGAGTGTAAAAACAAGCTTTAGGAGAAGAGACATTCCATAGAGGGGCTATCAAGATGTGAAACTTAAAGGAGGAAAAAAAAGTAGTTGGAATACCTCAGAATGTAAACTATTACTTTCAAATTGGGTTCCATGGTAACCCACATCTTAGTTGTACGTCATGCTTGCTAAGACACCTGTTCCTGTGCTGTAGCAATCTCTAGTTAAGGTCTAGGTGTCTGGTTTTTATGCCCCAGATGACTTACAAACTAAATTGTGAGGACTGGTAGCTTAGAGGCAAAATTGAGCTGCATCTAGGAGGTACCATGGTGGTGTAGAAAAGGAAGGACTTTATGGTTACTCTAGGTTCAAATCCCAATTCCATTTCTAAGCTGAATGCCCTTGGACACATGACTTAACATCTGATTAATTTCCTTCTGCCTCATAGGATCATTATATGAATGAAGTAACACTTTGCCAGGCACTGGATGATTAGTAGTCTCCACAAGCTGCTGCCATGGTATGGAGCCAGAATCTGAATCTGTGTCCTAAATGCTTCCTAAACTGGGCCAGACCACTGCAGTCACTTGCTGGTTCTAGCCATGAGTGTGAGTAGCTGAGCAGGCCTCTGCCAGTTTATGCCCAGGGCCTGTTGCTTTGCTCAGTTCTCGCCACTGTCCCAGAATGTTGGCACCTCCAGTTCTGTGTGGATTGTAAAGCGCTTCCCTTGACTCTAGTGAGCACAGCCTCTGGCCACGATAAATCTCAAAGACTAGCTACACTGATTCCTGTCCTCCACTGCCTCGGTTTCTGTTGTATGTCTTAATCACGTGACTAACTGCATCTACACAGGTGGTTCCATCAAGCATCAGAAAAATGAACATTTATCAAGCAACCCACAGGAAGCACAATGTCCTAAACCTCCACATAACCATCCAGTAAACAAGAGGACTTCCTATTCCTAATCACAGCCTCATTTTCAACCATCATCCTCATCCTCATATATGAGGATATGGAATTTCCTTGATCCGGACAGACTCCTAAGGCAAGAGTTCTAGTTCTACCTGTTAATAACCAGATGTGTGGTGCTGGTTACGTCACTTCTCACCTCTAAGCCTGCAAAGTCTGGGGTTAGACTTGGTTCATCTCTAAGATAGGTCTTTAAATTCTAATGGATTTTATAAGGTGCCCTTAAACTTCCAATTGAGCCTTTCAATCATTTATCTATATTGCTGTGGGGGTGAGCTTAACCAGTGAACCTCTAAATTAAATAGGCCATACAGAATGGGCTCTCTTCCAGTTTGATACCAGTGATTTCTTCAAAACAGGGATAAAGTAGCAGAAAATTGGTATTAGTGGGATTTGTGATTATCAGGGCAGTTCCTATTGAAGGTTTTGTTACTGTTTCATGGTTGATTAGATCTACTCTGGTTTTTGGATAGTCCCCAAGGGCAGCTGGGAGGCAAGGGCACATAAGGGGTAGGAAACAAAAAAAAAGCATCAGTGCTTTGGACAGCAGAGCCCCTCAGGATGAGAATGAGCCTGATCATAGTAAGAGTTAAAAACCAGCATAGAATGCTTAAAGTTACATTTTACTTTGAGTAAGAGCAGATAATCTAGGATTCATCTGAAAGCAGACAGAAGAGCCTCAAGGTTTTCTGAAGTGGATTCTGTCACGGCTCCTCGTGGCTTCTTGGAATTAAAAAACATGGCCACTGCTGGGTGCAGTGGCTCACGCCCATAATCCCAGGACTTTGGGAGGCCGAGGCGGGTGGATCACCTGAGGTCAGGAGTTCGAGACCAGCCTAGTCAACATGGTGAAATTAGCCGGGCGTGGTAGCGGGCACCTGTAATCCCAGCTACTTGGAAGGCTCAGGCAGAAGAATCGCTTGAACCTGGGAGGTGGAGGTTGCAGTGAGCCGAGATCGCACCATTGCACTCCAGCCTGGGCGACAAGAGCGAAACTTTGTCTCAAAAAAAAAAAAAAGAAAAAACACACAGCCACTACCAAGAAAAACAGGAATAATATTAAAGATGCTTACTTGGAGAAAGGAAGTATGCATTGATCTAGAGTGACAGTTCTCCAGCTTAAAAAAGTGTTCCTTTTATGTTAATTCCAAATTTTGTTTTTGAGACAGGGTCTCACTCCTGCACAAGTTGGAGTACAAACATAGCTCCCTGCAGTCTTGACCTCCTGGGCTCAAGCTATCCTCCTGCCACAGGCTCCTGAGTAGCTGGGACTACAGGTGTGCCTCACTACACCTGGCTCATTTTTAAATTTTTTTTTTTTTTTTTTTTTTTTTTTTTGAGACAGAGTCTTGCCCTCTGTCATCCAGGCTGGAGTAGAGTGGCGCAATCTCGGCTCACTGCAACCTCCGCCTCCTGGGTTCACGCCATTCTCCTGCCTCAGCCTCCCAAGTAGCTGGGACTACAGGCGCCCACCACCACGCCTGGCTAATTTTTTTTTTTTTGTATTTTTAGTAGAGATGGGGTTTCACCATGTTAGCCAGGATGGTCTCAATCTCCTGACCTCGTGATCTGCCTGCCTCACCCTCCCAAAGTGCTGGGATTACAGGCTTGAGCCACCACGCCTGGCCGAATTTTTAAATTTTTTTGTAGAGACAAGGTTCTCATCATATTACCTAGGCTGGTCACAAATTCCTGGACTCATGTGATCCTCCTGCTTCAGCCTCCCAACGTGTTGGGATCACAAGTGTAAGCCACTGTGCCAGGCCTCAAAATACTAAAATAAGTGACCAAAAAAAAAATCAGCTGGTTGCAGTGGCTCACACCAGTACTCCTAGCACATTAGGAGGTAGAGGCAGGAAGACTGCTTGAGCTCAGGAGTTAGAGACCAATCTGAGCAACAGAGTGAGACCCTATCTCTACAACGAATACAAAAATTAGTTGGCTGGGCACGGTGGCTCACGCCTGTAACCCCAGCACTTTGGGAGGCCAGCAGGCAGATCACGAGGTCAGGAGTTTGAGACCAGGCTGGCCAGCATGGTGAAACCCCGTCTCTACCAAAAATACAAAAAAAAATTAGCCCGGCATGGTGGTGCACACCTGTATTCCCAGCTACTTGGGAGGCTGAGGCAGGAGAATCGCTTGAACCCAGGAGGCAGAGGTTGCGGTACGCTGAGATCGTGCCACTGCACTGCAGTCTATCCAGTCTAGGTGACAGAGTGAGACCCCGTCTCAAAAAAAAAAAAAGCCAGGCATGATGGTGTGTGCCTGTAGTCCCACCTACTTGAGAGGCTGATGTGGGAGGATCGCGTGAGCTAGGGAGGCAGAGGTTGCAGTGAGCCAAGATCATGCCACTGCACTGCAGCCTGGATGACAGACTGAGACACTGTCTCCAAACTTTAAAAAAAAAAAAAAGTTAGTTTGGAATACGCTTCTTCCAGTTACACATGGCCCACTGGAAAAGAGCTAACAATTCCCTGTAAGAAGAGTGAGACCAGATGCTGACTTTGGGGCAGAGTGAAGCAAATAAGCAGTCTTTTGCATGATGAGAGACTTGAAGAAGATACAGAGGATGGCAGTGCATTCAGGGTTTAATTTAGGCTGCAGCTTGGGGAAGAAAATCAGTGGTCATCACTGCCTTTGTGTGCACACTGTATCACTAAGCAAAGCTCCTGAGAACAAACCGCTGGGATAGTCACGACCCTCTCTTGGAGTAGATGAATTCTAGGGACAGGTGCCATAAGGAAAGGCTGCAACCCCCACAACAGAAAATACATATTTATTAAAAATAAAGTTAGTTACATGATGACAGTAGAAAAATAACACTATGAGCTACTAAAAACGTTCTGGAAACTCAGTCTCCGAGGACTGGGGTGAGAGGCTTTCGCATCACTCTGGAAACCCACCAACATGAGGCTCTCTGTGCTCATGTGGGACAGGTATGGCACAACTCGTACAGGGAGCATGTGGCTCAGGTCCTGCTTGAAGCCCAAGGAGCCTAGATGGTCCACACGAGATGCTCTGGCCACGGTGATCAAAGAGGAGAACTTGAGGTCAGCAGGGGACTGGTTCTGAGAAGGGGCAGGATGGGAATAACCTTGCCCGTCCCTATGCTGGAGTGTAGAACAGTCTCTCGGGTTGATGGTCCTGGTTTAGAAGATGGCACCCACTGGCCTTATGCTGAGTTGCTTGCCCAAATGTATGTGCTGAAGAAAAGCCACACAGCCTTTCTCAGGATAACTTGCCCCACCAATTCTCACTGGTGTGGCTAAAGTACCAGAAGCAATATGTGTGGTGTCAGCCTGATGGGCTGCTGGCTGAAATTCTGTACTTCAAATTCTGTCCATACTGATGGCAGAAAGAAAGAAAATGTTAAAAGACCAGTGAATGAGAGTAGCTGGCCTCAACTGTTCTATATTCCAAGTCTCCTGGCCCCAAAGAATAGGGAGAGTATCCTCCCTGAGTGGGAATCGATCTACCTACCCTAAACAGGAAAGGCAATCCACTAGCCACCCCTTTCCCCCACTAGAGAAAAGTCTTCTAGATCCCTTAGGCTTCAGAAGAATACTGAATCCCTCCCTGGGATGGGAACCCAACCCTCTGGTGATGAGAAATGGTCCCTCAGCGAAGCAGTACCTGGAGAAAGCAGCCAAGGTGAGCACCTCAAGTAAAAGCTCTGAGCCACAGAAGAAGAGCAAGATGCCGTTCATGATGGCTTCCAGGCGGAGTACATAGGTCTGCAGCAGCAGGTAATAGGAGGCCATCATGGCAGATGGGAAGGTCAAGGCCACGCTAATACTGAGTGGCATCTTTCGTTGGCAAAGGTTTCCCTTTGTACCTGTGTCAGACAGAACCCATGGAGTCATCTCCAAATGGTCTGCTTTTCCTGGCCCAGGGGAAAGATGTGGGAGATGTGATGGAATGGCAAGGCACAAAAAATGATCCTGAGTGGGGTGCACAGATTTATAAATGGGGTCCCACTGTACTGAAAGTTTGAGGCTTGGCAGAGTTACAAGATTAAAGTCACTTAATCCAGAGGTCCTGCTTCCAGTCTGGTCCCCACTCAAGAGACAATGGGATCTTTATTTGGGAAAAAAATTTTTTTTGATTATAAAAATAATATATAATCATTTAAAAATTTTTAATGGCCGGGCACGGTGGCTCACGCCTATAATCCCAGCACTCTGGGAGTCCGAGGCGGGCGGATCACAAGGTCAGGAGATCGAGACCATCCTGGCTAACACAGTGAAACCCCGTCTCTACTAAAAATATAAAAAAATATAGCTCAAGCCTGTAATCCCAGCACTTTGGGAGGCCGAGACGGGCGGATCACGAGGTCAGGAGATCGAGACCGTCCTGGCTAACATGGTGAAACCCCATCTCTATTAAAAAATACAAAAAACTAGCCGGGCGAGGTGGCAGGCGCCTGTAGTCCCAGCTACTCGGGAGGCTGAGGCAGGAGAATGGTGTAAACCCGGGAGGTGGAGCTTGCAGTGAGCTGAGATCCGGCCACTGCACTCCAGCCTGGGTGACACAGCGAGACTCCGTCTCAAAAAAAAATAAAAATAAAAATAAAAAAATAAAAAAATTAGCCAGGCGTGGTGGTGGGCACCTGTTCCCAGGTACTCCAGAGGCTGAGGCAGGAGAATGGCGTGAACCCAGGAGGCGGGGCTTGCAGTGAGCAGCTATCATGCCACTGCACTCCAGCCCGGGGAACAAAGTAAGACTCTGTCTCAAAAAAAAAAAAAAAAAAAAATTTCAACACAGAAAATAATTTTTGAGTATATAGAAAGTGAAAGGCCTCCATGTCCCTGCACCCTGAAGATTATTAGAGAATGATGTGTATTGTTTCAGATTTTTTATATGTATATATTCACATATTACTATTTATTATTATAAAAATAGAAGCATACTCTACATCCTGTTTCACAACTTATTTTTCCCCACAGACATTTTTCCACACACATAGCTACCCTAATTTTTTTTTTTTTTTAGATAGTGTTTCATTCTGTCACCCAGGCTGGAGTGCAGTTGCATCATCATAGCTCACTGCAGCCTCAAACACCTGGGCTCAAGGGATCTTCCCACTATAGGTACACGTCACTATGCCCAGCTAATTTTTTTTTTTTTGAGACAGAGTTTCTTGTCACCCAGGCTGGAGTGCAATGGAGCGATCTTGGCTCACTTCAACCTCCACCTCCCGGGTTCAAGCGATTATCCTGCCTCAGCCTCCCAAGTAGCTGGGATTAGGTGCCCGCCACCATGCCTAGCTAATTTTCATATTTTTTAGTAGAGGCACGATTTCACCATGTTGGCCAGGCTGGTCACGAATTCCTGACCTCAGGCAATCCACCTGCCTCGGCCTCCCACAGTGCTGAGATTACAGGCGTGAGCCTGGCCAATCTTTATTTTATTTTTTGTCTCACTGTTGACTAGGCTGGTCTCAAACTCCTGGCCTTAAGCAACCTTCCTGTCTCAGCCTCCCAAAGTTCTGATTACAGGCGTGAGCCACTGCATCTGGCCTTAACTGTTCTTTTTTATTTTTAAATTTTTAAAATTTTTTTATTTTTTGAGACGGAGTCTAGCTCTCTTGCCAGGCTGAAGTGTAGTGACGCGATCTCGGCTCACTACAACTTCCGCCTCCTGGGCTCAAGTGATTCTCCTGCCTCAACCTCCCTAGTAGCTGGGATTACAGGCACACGCCACCACACTCAGCTAATTTTTGTATTTTTAGTAGAGACGGGGTTTCACCATGTTGGCCAGGATGGTCTTGATCTGACCTCGTAATCTGCCTGCCTCGGCCTCCCAAAGTGCCGGGATTACAGGTGTGAGCCACCGTGCCTAGCAACTGTTCTTTTTTAATGGTTATATCTAAGTCCGTTGAATCAGTGCCATAACTTATTTAACAAGCCCATATGGACAGGTTTCGTTTGTTTATAGTGTTTTGATGTTACCAAATTTTTGGCAATAAACATTCTCATATAGTTATCTTTGCATATCTGTGGAATTTTTTTTTTAATCTAGTTTTAGAAGTGAAATTGTTGGGGTTAAGAGTAAAATATTACATGGTAATAACTATTACTGAAAAGAGTTGTACTAAATTAAATTACCACAAAAGTATATAACAATCTGTTCCCTACACCCTAATACTGGGTGTTATAAATCTTTATCTCTGCCAGTCTGATGGGTAAAAAACATTACTTTGTTTCAATTTGATTTTTATTAGCGAGTTTGAGCATCTTGTCAAGTTTTACTGGTTCTCTGTAATTATTTTTACATGAAATGCCTATTAATGTCTCTTACCAAATTTTTTTTTTTTGATTCTCACTTTGTCGCCCAGGCTGGAGTGCAGTGGGTCATCTTGGCTCACTGCAACCTCCGCCTCCTGGGAGTTCAAGTGATTCTCCTGCCTCAGCCTCCCGAGTAGCTGGGATTATAGGCGTGCACCACCACAACCGGCTAATTTTTGTATTTTTAGTAGAGATGGGGTTTCACCATGTTGGCCAAGCTGGTCTCAAACTCCTCACCCGCCTTGGCCTCCCAAACTGCTGGGATTACAGGCGTGAGCCACTGCGCCCAGCCAATATTTAAATTTATTTTGTCTTTTCCTTAGTGATTTATGTGAGCCTTCTTTTATCCTTTCTTATGTGTTGCAAGTAATTTTGTTCCTAAGTTTGTGCTTTAACATTTATTTCTGGCCGGGCGCGGTGGCTCAAGCCTGTAATCCCAGCACTTTGGGAGGCCGAGACGGGCGGATCACGAGGTCAGGAGATCGAGACCATCCTGGCGAACACGGTGAAACCCCGTCTCTACTAAAAAATACAAAAAAACTAGCCGGGCGAGGTGGCGGGCGCCTGTAGTCCCAGCTACTCGGGAGGCTGAGGAAGGAGAATGGCGTAAACCCGGGAGGCAGAGCTTGCAGTGAGCTGAGATCCGGCCACTGCACTCCAGCCTGGGCGACAGAGCAAGACTCCGTCTCAAAAAAAAAAAAAAAAAAAAACCATTTATTTCAGGGATGACATATTCTAACAAATAAGGGTTTTGCTCTGTATTTCTGGGATTATAAAACTTGTCCTACAGGGCAAGCATGTTGGCTCACGCCTGTAATCCCAGCACCTTGGGGAGGCCAAGGCGGGAGGATTGCTTGAGGCCAGGAGTTTCAGACCAGCCTGGGCAATGAGGCAAGACACTGTCTCTACAAAAAACACAAAATGAGCCAGGCATGATGTCGCATGCCTGTGGTCCCAGCTACTCAGGAGGCTGAAGTTGGAGGACTGCTTGAGCCCAGGGCTTCAAGGCTGCTGTGCGTTATGATCGTACCACTGTACTCCAGCCTAGGTGACAGAATGAGATCCTGTCTCAAATAAGTAAATGTTTAAAAAACAAAATCCGGTCAGGTGTGATGGCTCACACCTATAATCCCAGCACTTTGGGAGGCCAAGACAGGTAGATCATGAGGTCAGGAGATCGAGACTATCATAGCCAACATGGTGAAACTCCATCTCTACTAAAAATACAAAAACTTGCCAGGCATGGTGGTGGACGCCTGCAGTCCCAGCTACTCAAGAGTCTGAGACAGGAGAATCGCTTGAACCCGGGAGGCGGAGGTTGCAGTGAGCCGAGATCGTGCCACTGCACTCCAGCCTGGCAGACACAGTGAGACTCTGTCTCCAAAAAAAACACAAAAATCCGGCCAGGTGCAGTGGTAATCCCACCACTTTGGGAGGCTAAGGCAGGCGGATGACAAGGTCAAGGGATGGAGACCATCCTGGCCAATATGGTGAAACCCCGTCTCTACTAAAAATACAAAAATTAGCTGGGAGCAGTGGTGAACGCCTGTAGTCCCACCTACTCGGCAGGCTGAGGCAGAAGAATCGCTTGATCCCGGGAGGCAGAGGCTGCAGTGATCCGAGATTGTGCCACTGCACTCCAGCCTGGCGATAGAGAGAGACTCCATCTCAAAAAAAAAAAAAAAAATCCTACAGAGATCCTTATTCAGAGTATTGTTAGGGATCTTAGTACTGATCTGTGCAGGATATGCTGCCTGCCCTGACATGGAGCTACAACTGAACCTGCTCCCCAAAGAATACTAGTGAGAAGAACCAGGCACTCCTTTTGCTGTTAGGCAGCTGGGAAGGAATCATCTAATATCACATTCTATTGCCCATCTCTAGCCTTACAGAGCAACAAACAGGTAAATCCTGACCCCAATGTATGAAGCAGCAACTTGAAACTTCAGAGAGGGAGTAATGCGATATACAGATCCAGTCTCTGATAGTCAACCTAGGTGATGTACTTTTCTTGTTAATCAAGTTAGAGATACCAGCTTGTCTCATAAAGAGTGGAAATATTCTCTGGACAACACTCACCAAAAAACAGGCGAATTACTTCAATTCCAAGATAAAGGAGGAGCATCACCACATCCAGTACTAGGTTAGCTGTTGGATATGGTAGCAGAACACCTGCGAATACAAAAGCCAGAGTTTGCAAATAGCATAAAACAGCATCCACAAGAACTGCCACACACTTGAGACATCAGTCTCAAGGACATCAGTCTCAGCTTTCCATGAGCTAGTGAAATGTGGGCATTATTACAGCTGCAGGATACATAAACTCACAGTGCAACCCAGGCTCATTATTATGCCATTTTACTCCTAACTCCAAAAGACTCTGGGGACTCCTCTCTCCAGAATGAGTGGATGCACATGGGTACACGGGCCACTGAATAGTTTCTAAGGGTCATCAATGGGCTTACAGAGGAGCTCAGCAAAGACCAGTGATGTGGGCAGAGTCAGAATGGAGAAGCCCACATTTCCCAAACTCAAGAAATTCTTGCTGAGGGGATGCCATACTCATACTCAAAGAAGCCATCTGATGAGGAGGCCTGCCTTGCAGCGACAAAGAACCGCAGGGGGCAGAAAAGAGCGGAAAATAAGAAGGTTCTTGGTCGGAGTTGGCTCTGAGCTGAAGTGGGGAAGGGGTGCTGTCGTCAAGCCCCATGCCTTCCTTACCTTTATACAGAAATATGAAAAGTTCCAGCAAGAAATAGGTAGCATTATACCACGCGTTCAGAAAGAACAGGATTTCCAGCGGGGTGGAGGACAACCGTTTACCTGAAACAGCAGCACAGAAAAGTGGGATGGGCAGGAAGGCAGCTCCCTCTCTGCTCCTATGGGTTGGTGTCTAACTGGGGAAACCAGACGCCGCAACTAATGGGACCGGCCACCCAGGGGCACTTCTGGTTGCTGATAATGAGGGTACGGGGTGGATGTGGAGGAGGCTTCCCTCGTTTCCCAGGAATCACCGCGAAACTCGACTCTTCGGCTTCAGGAGTAAAAGTTAAGAGGTAACTCGCAGCTGACAGACATCTCAAAGATCTCACCCTGTCACTATTTGGGAGGGGAAGTTGGGGCGTGGAGACCAACAGATTCGTACCTGAGCCATCCTAGAAGTGGCCCAGCCAAGGATCTGCGGCTATTTGAGCCACGCACCTTGAAACCTTCAGGGACCCAGGGTGGGCGGGTCCGCGGAAGCCCGCTTTGGACCAGGGAGGCGCGATGTCCCTAACGCTACAGAATGGAGGGTTTAGGTCAAGCTCTGGGACAGAGGTGCGAGGGAGGGATCAAAGGGAAAGGGACCAGCGACTCACACACCTCCGGAATCTCACCTCGCGGCGCCATCTTCAGTCCCCGTGGAAACTGCGTACGCTGCCACAGCTGCTCCCGGAGCAGCGCGCCGCTGCCGGAAACAGGGACTGAGCGGCCGGGGTTTCCGGCCCCTCTGCCCGCCCGCGGCACTCTGTGGTCACCCGGAGCGGGACGAGCTCGGGCCAGGCCGCAAGTGGCCCTCGCTCGGATGTCCCCTCTCCAGACCTAAGGGAAAACAGTGACCGCCCACGACGCCGTCGTCTGCAGGAGCTCGGGGTTGTGGGGTAGGACCCTGGAGGCCCTTGGGCTACCGGGCGTTGGGCGGAAGTGGCCAGTTGTGACAATGTTACCAGGAGACTGGCAAATAGGTCCTACTCCCACGATTCCCATTTTTCGACGGAAGACGAGAAACGGTGTGAGCGACGGATCTCTGCAAATGCGGGATGGGAGTTAGCATTGGTCTTTTCTGCGGCCTATTTACCTACCAGGTAGAGACACTAGGGAAATAGAGCGTCCTTTCCAGGAGCACACGTAAATAAACTGAAACGAGTCACCACGCGATCCCTAAAGTGGTGCAGTGGGAGCTGAGAGGACAAAGTGCTCCCAGGTGGAAATCTAAGTCAGTTTCCAAGAGACGGGCTTCAAAATGTGAGCTGGGCTTCAAAGCCTGCCTGATTCGGGTTTGCAGCGGTAAGAGCGTGTTGCTGGCCGGGCTTAGTGGCTCACGCCTGTAATCCCAGCACTTTGGGAGGCCGATGCGATGGATCACCTGAGGTCAGGAGTTCGAAACCAGCCTGGCCAACATGGCGAAACCCCGTCTCTACTAAAAATACAAAAATTAGCCAGACGTAGCGGCGCGCGCCAGTAGTTCCAGCTACTTGGGAGGCTGAGGTAGGAGAATCGCTCGAACCCAGGAGGCGGAGGTTGCAGTGAGCCGAGATTGCGCCACCACACTCCAGCCTGGGCGACAGTGAGACTCTGTCTCAAAACAAACAAAAAAACAAACAAAAACGTGTTGCTGCAGGCGGGGAAGTGCAAAAAGAAGGGTTTTGAGAGGACTCAGGTTGACTTGACTTGGCTGTTAGCCCGTTGTCAATCAGGGTAAAGCCGGAAACAGATGGCACGCTCCAACCAGGTAACCTGAGGAAGGTGACTAGGCTTTATTTTATTTATTTAATTTTATTTTTGAGACGGAGTTTTGCTCTTGTCACCCAGGCTGGAGTGCAATGGCGCTATCTCTGGTCACTGCAAGCTCCACCTCCTGGGTTCAAGTGATTCTCCAGTCTCAGCCTCCCAAATAGCTGAGATTACAGGTGCCCCCCACCACACCCAGCTAATATTTTTTTGTATTTTTAGTAGGGACGGGGTTTCACCATCTTGGCCAGGCTGGTCTCAAACTCCTAACCTCAGGTGACCCGCCCCCCCTCGGCCTCCCAAAGTGCGGGATTACAGGCTGGAGCGACTGCCTCCGGCCAAGAGTGACTAAGCTTTAAGCCAAGTGCTGTACCCCTCGCTAATTGGGATGGGATGGGGCAGTAATTGTTATTTCTAGGCTTAAAAGGGAAGGGCCTGAAACAATTCCCTGAAGCTGGAGAGAGTAATATGTGCATAGAAGGCCTCCCACTAGGAAACCCCACACTCTAGGAGGCTAGTGGAGAAATAGCAGGGACCTCCATTTCCCTTCTCCCGTCTCTGATCTCTGCTTGTGTCTCCCACTGGTACAACTTAACTGCAAGCTGGAGGGCAAGGAAGCCCTTAAATACATTTTTTAGGGTCAGTAGGAAAGCACAGAGCACAGAGGTTAAGGTGGAAAGGGATCCAAATCCTGCTTCCCCATCTTCGCTGCCTACAAGACAAGAGACATTACACAAGTTCCTGCTCTGAGCCTCATGGAAAGAAAGTGGGCCAGCTGCACCGGCTGCGGTGGCTCACACCTGTAATCCCAGCACTTTGGGAGGCCGAGGCAGGTGGATCACCTGAGGTCAGGAATTCAAGATCAGCCTGACCAACATGGTGAAACCCCATCTACTAAAAATACAAAATTAGCCGGGCATGGTGGCGCATTCCTCTAATCCCAGCTACATGGGGGGCTGAGGCATAAGAATCGTTTGAACTTGGGAGGCGGAAGTTGTAGTGAGCTGAGACCGAGCCATTGCACTCCAGCCTGGGCAACAAGAGTGAAACTCCATCTCAAAAGAAAAAGAAAGAAAGTGGGCCAGCTGCTTGTTTTTGTAAATGAAAGTTCTTTGGAGAACATCATCATGGTCACTTACTTACATGTTATTATATATTGCAGCTTTCATGCTGTTATGGCAATGTTAAGTAGTTGCAACAGAGACTACATGGCCCACAGCCTTAAATACCATCTGACCCTTTAAGAAAAATTTTGCTCACCTATGTCAGAGTATGCCACAACGTCACAGATGCCAAAAGCTGACAGTGAGGCCAAATTACTGATGGCAAACAGCAGGAACATCAGCAAGGCAACCTGGGCCCCCTGCTCCCAAGTCCTATGAGTGACACACTGACCCCAGATGGTGCTGCACTCAAGGAGTTATGCCACAGCTTGGCAGAGTCCAGAGCCAAAGGCTCAGTACCTGTTTTAGTAAGCAGCAAATAAAGCCAGGCCCCTTCCACCGGGGTGGGAGAAATTACACTGTCATCACACTATGGTCACTTTGGTCTACTTAATTGCGATTGCTTGTGGGCTCAGTATCAGGAGACAGACTTTTCAGTTTGACATAGTAAGAACATGCAGGGATGCTTAGGACCCATATAAGACTGTCCCAACAGCCAGTGCCCTTGCTAAATTGATTATTTCTAGGAGGCTTGTTATGTACATGATCACATCATCAGTAAATAAACACATTTTTACTTCTTCCTTCTCAATCTCTGTACCTTCAATTTCTTTTTCTTGCCTTATTGCACTGGCCAGGACTGCCAGTGTAATGTTGACTAGAAATGGTGATGATGGATAGTCTTGTCTTGTTCCTAACCTCAGGGGAAACATTCAGTATCACACCGTTAATATGGTGGCTATAGGTATTTTTTGTAGACACTATCGGATTAAGAAAGTCCCTTATTATCCTAGTTTGCTAAAAGGCTTATGATACATTTTATTAAGTGTGTTCTCTTAATCTATTGAGAGGACTATATGATTTTTCTCCTTTATTCTGCTGATATGAATTACATTGATTTTCAGAGGTATGACCAACCATGTCTTCTTGGAAAAAATTTAAAAAACCCATTTGCTTATGATACTGTACAGAAAAAAACTTAACATAGCAGACCTGAGGCTGCTGTCTTTGGAGAGGCCTAACTGCAAGGTTGAGCCTTGCCTGGTGTAAGGGAATTTGGCTTTTGGGAGTGTTCCCACCAATTTAAAGTGGCTCACAGTGCCTAAACTGCACAAACAATGTGGCTTATGCTAAATACCTGTTCTCCTTCTCAGAATCTGGAGTTTTGAGACGTGTTAGGCAGAGGGTGCCTTCATGATCAGCTCCCAATAAAAACCTTGGGGGCTGGGTCCAGTGGCTCATGCCTGTAATCCCAGCACTTTGGGAAGCTGAGGCAGGAGGATCAGCTGAGCTCAGGAGTTCAAGACCAGCCTAGACAATATAGTGAGACCCTGTCTCTACCCAAACAAAAAAAAAAATTTAGCCAGGCATGGTGGTGCACACCTGTAGTCCCAGTTACTTCGGAGGCTGAGGCAGGAAGATTGCTTGAGCCCAAGAGGTAGAGGAAAGAGGCTGCAGTGAACCATAACTGTCTCAAAAACAAAACAAAACAAAACAAAACAAAACAGCTTGGACACTGAGTCTCAAGTGAGCTTTCCTGGCAGACAACATTGCACGTATGTTATCAGAATTTGTTGCTGCAGGAATGATGAATGTCTTGTGTGATTCCCCCGGGAGAGGCCTCTTGGAAGCGTGCTGCTGGTTTCTCCTCGATTGCGCCCCATGTACCTTTTCCCTTTGTTGACCTTGCTTTGTATTTCACTGTAATAGATCAGAGGCCTGAGTACACCTGTATGCTGGGTCCCGTAAGTCCTCATAGCAAATCATCCAACCTGGGCATGATCTTGGAGACCCCCGACAAAGATGTGTTATCCTTTTTATATGTCACTGGATTTCACTCGCTAATTTTGTTCAGGTTTTACATATGTTCATGAGAGAGATTGGTCTGTAATTTAACTTTCTTTGTCAAGGACCTGCTCAAGGGTGGGTATCCAGGTTAAGGTGCCTTCATCAAACAAAGCAAGAGGTGTTTCTTCTTTTTCTATTCTCTGGAAGAGATAGTAGAAGCTAGGTAATATTTCTTCTTCAAATATTTGAAAGAATACACTGATGAAGCCATCTAAACCTAACATTTTTGGTGGGGGGAAAGTTTAAAATAATGAAATCCCTGTACTATATATAAGAGCAGTCAGATTTTCTACTTCTCCAGCAAGGTTTGCGTGAATTTGTGTTTGGGTAAACCTTGAGTAAAGTTTGAGTAAATCATTTTGTATACATTTCCAGATGTATTGGCGTGAAGGTTTTCATAACATTCCTCAATTCTTTTTTTTCTTTTTTCTGTATTATAAGTCACTAGTCGGGCTGGGCACAGTGGCTCACACCTGTAATCCCAGCACTTTGGGAGGCCAAGGCGGGCGGATCACTTGAGGTCAGGAGTTCGACCAACATGGTGAAACCCTGTTTCTGCTAAAAATACAAAAAAATTAGCTGGGTGTGGTGGCGCCTGCCTGTAGTCCCAGATACTCAGGAGGCTGAGGCAGGAGAATCGCTTGAACCCGGGAGGCAGATGTTGCAGTGAGCCAAGATCATGCCACTGCACTACTCCAGCCTGGGCAACAGAGCGAGACTCTGTCTAAAAAATAATAATAACTAATTAATTTTTAAAAATTAGAAAAGTCACCAGGCAGTCCTTAAATATTACTTAATGGATGTAAGAACTGCAGTGATGTCCCTTTTCTTTCATATTTTTTCTTCAGTAGTTTTCATAGGTGTTTATCAATTTTATTAATGTTTTATTTATTTTTTTTAATTATTTTTTCATGAGACAGGATCTCACTGTATCACCCAGGCTGCAGTGCAGTGGCATGATCTTGGCTCATTGCAACCTCTGCCTCCTGGGCTCAAGTAATTCTCGTGCCTCAGGCTCCCAAGTAGCTGGGACTACAGGCATGCACCACCACATCTGGCTTTTTTCAGTAGAGACGGGGTTTTGTCATGTTGCCCAGGCTGGTCTCGAACTCATGAGCTCAGGCAGTCCACCTGCCTCGACCTCCCAAAGTGCTAGGATTACAGGCATGAGCCACCATGCCTGGTTTATTATTATTATTATTATGAGATGGAGTCTCACTCTGTCGCCCAGGCTGGAGTGCAGTGGCGCAATCTTGGCTCACTGCAGGCTCTGCCTCCTGAGTTCATGCCATTCTCCTGCCTCAGCCTCCCAAGTAGCTAGGATTACAGGCGCCCGCCACTGCACCTGGCTAATTTTTGTATTTTTAGTAGAGATGGGGTTTCACCATGTTGGCCAGGCTGGTCTCGAACTCCTGACCTCATGATCCACTCTCCTCAGCCTCCCAAAGTGCTGGGATTACAGGTGTGAGCCACCATGCTGGCCTTATTTTTTAAAAAACAGCTTTTGACTTTCTTTTTCTTCATTGTATATTTGTTTTCAATTTTACAGATTTTACTCTTTATAATTTCTTTCTTCTTACTTTATGTTTTTTGTTTTGTTTTTGTTTTTGTTTTTTGAGACAGAGTCTCACTCTTGCCCAGGCTGGAGTGCAGTGGTGCGATCTCAGCTCACAGCAGCCTCCACCTCCCAGGTTCAAAGCAATTCTCCTGTCTCAGCCTCCCGAGTAGCTGAGATTGCAGGTGTGTGCCACCACACCCGGATAATTTTCTCAGCGGGAAGGCTGAGAACTTCACTTTTATAGAGGAGATATCTTGTTAGTAGGAATGTAGCTACTAAGGGAGTTCAAAGTTTG